AAGTGGTAATTATTTTTTAATGTGTGCTTTGAAAGCCATCATTGTTTTAAAGTATTGCTTTAACTTCATGTCACAATTGTGATTTATTATATTTTCATTACCTTTCATTTTAAAATATTTTCAAATCTCCCTTGTGATTTCTTCTCTTGTACATGGATTATTCACTTGTATTCCTTAACTTCCAACTATATGGAGAATTCCTGGGAATCTTTTTGTTATTGATTTTAATTAAATTCCATTGTGCTTAAAGAAAGTAGTTTTATTTAGTGTTGCAAAATACATATGTGATGAACAGCTATTGTTTGCTTTTTAATTTATTTATTTATTTGGTACAGAGTCTTGCTACACAGCTCAGACTCGTAGTAATTCTCTTGTCTCAACCTCCCCAGCACTGAGATTACAGGCATGCGCCACCACATCCAATTTTGGTGGCCTGCTCAGCATGGGATTGGGTTTGCATGCGGTGCCACAGATCTAATCCCAGGCCTTACACTTGCCAGGCAGGAGCTTAGACCACCAAGCTATCTCCCCGGCCCTGAACAGGTAATGTTTAACAGAGAAACATGTGAATCCTATTATTATTAGCGTATTCTATAAGTATTAAATAGGCACAAATGGTTATAGTGTTGTGCAAATCTTGAATATCATTGCTAAATATTTTCTCTACTTATTTTGTCAATTACTGAGAAAAAGTTACCAAAATGTCTTATGAAAACTGTAGATTTGTTTATTTTGTTGACAGTTTTTGCTGACGATATATTGAACCTATTTTATTTATTTATTTATTTATTTATTTATTTATTTATTTATTATGTATTTGGTACAGGGACTCACTATGTAGCTTGGACTTGTAGCTATCCTGCTATTTTCAGTCTCCCCAGGCCTGGGATTATAGGTGTGCCTGGGTGGCCCGGCTGGCTTGGTGTGTGGTGGCAGGGATTGAATCCTGGTCCCTGAGCTTGCCTAAGCAGTTGCTTAGTCTGCTGAGCTATCTCGCCGACCCAAACCCTTTTATTTAAAGAAATGTAATGCAGCCTGGTTGTGGTGGGAAGCTAACTCCCCTAATTGACCACTTTCTCTTCTAGGCCAGGGTATTCTAGTCAGCCCACACTGGAAGTTGTCTGTGAGCTTTGTTTGTTGCCCCAAGAGGGGCACAGTGTGAGCCTCTGGCCTCATTTTCTTCCCTGTCTCTTGCCAACACTACACATGCATCTGAAGCAGAGCCAGGATGGTCAGTTTGCATCACTGGCCCTGTCCCAGCCTACAGGTCAGTGTGTGGGGTTCGCAAGTCCTGGGGTGAAGTGCAGCTGCAGGGAGCCAGCTGTGGGGTGTTAGGGTGGGAGCAAGGATGCAAGGAAGCATGAAAACAGCACACACACACACACACACACACACACGGAGTCTCACTAGACACCAGTTTAGGATGTATTAAGACATCCTTTTTTTTTTTTCCTGTATGTAGGACCGGGTCTACAGGGTCTCATTATATAGATTGGACTGGTAGTGATTCTCCTGTTTTCAGCCTCCCAAGCGCTGGGATTATAGGCACACATCACTACACCCAGTTTTCATCACCATCTCAGTGTGGGGGAGGCGGGGCCGGCACGGCACGTCAGGATGGAACCTGGCCTCTGTGCTCTGCCTAAGCAGGCACTGGCTATCTTTTTTTTTTTTTTTGCGGAAGTGGGACGTTGAACTCAGGTCCCTGCGCTTGCCAGGGAAGCACTTATTCTACTGAGCCATCTCCCAGGCCCCTGGCTATCTTTTGAGAGGGGAGAGTCACGCAGTGTTGGTTAGAGGCTACAACTAGCCTTTCTTTACCAGGGCCTCATTTGCTTTAGAAGTTAAAGGAGGTAGCAATGCCTGCCTAGAGGCTGGTCATGCAGATGTGATACAGTAATGTCTACGGGTGTGGGATTTCCCCACCTCCATCACAGTCATTACCACCACTGTTGTGGTGACTGGCCCTGTTGTGACCATCGTTGCCACCATCAGTCATCTTAGTCATCACCATCAT